TTCTGAGGAGCACTGGTGAGCTTGAACCACCAAATTTGTGGTTCTAATTGACTTTGAAGTCCAGTGCATTATTAACCCACAGCACCACACCAGGACTCCAACATAGTATTAGTGGTCCAATAATTAGATTGAACTCAATCTAAAACTGATGGGTCATCAAGAAGAAATATATCAAAGGGGCAAAAACATTTTTTTTTTTTGAGTAGGTATATCTGAAATATAAATCATAAATTAAAAGGAAAACCTTAAATTTCAGTATGTATACTGCCTGGCTTTATTTAATTGACACGTAGGATATGTCAAGTGTGTTAAGAGTGATCAGCATATGCACATATATTCTATATAATGTTGTTGTTGTCATTGTTAAGTGCTACTGAGTCAGTTCCAACCCACAGCGACCCTGCATAGGTTTTCCAAGGAGCAGCTGGTGAGCTTGAACCACAGACCTTGTGGTTCAAAATGACTTTACAGCCCAGCGTATTAGCCCACAGAGCCACCAGGACTCCATTTATAGTTCAAATGAAATCCTTCAACATTTTTTTTTTGATAGAATTGGAATCATTGGTCTAAATTTTGAAAATCAGGAAAAGTCAACTCCCACCAAAGTAAAAATCAGCTCTGTTCTTTAAAGACAAATTATCAAAACAGGCTGATTTACTAACACCCTCTATATTGCATTTCATTGCTTTGCTCACTGTGCTCACCATACATGTAAGTCACTTCTACATTAGTACCCTAGCTGTTGTGACCTACTGATGAATTGGTGACCCCACATACAATGGAAGAAAATACTGCATGGTCCTACACCATCCTCCTGATAGGATTGGAGTGTTGTGATCTGCAGGGGAGTTTTTTGACTAATTCTAGAAGTAGATTGGCAGTTCTTTCTTCCTAGTCTATCTTAATCAGGAAGTTCCTCTGAAATCTGTTCAGCATCATAGCAAAACTCAAACTTCTATTGGCAGAAGGGTAGTGGTTGTATATGAGGTGCCCTTATAAGCACTTAAAATATGTGATGGCAATTAAATTACTTATAAGGCACTCTCAACTTCTTATTTGAGGATGAGCTGAACAATCTACATTCTTATCTGCAAAAGGGGTAGTTTAACACCCATGGGCAGCAGGAGGTTAGATAAGTCATACAAGATTGATAAGGCAGTGGCTCAGGGGATGGTTCAAGAGTACCTTTCATAATTGTTAAAAACAAAAACATTGTCCATCTATGAAATAATAACTTGGTCCCTCTAAAATGAACAAAAACTTAAATTAGAAAAACTGTACATCAGACCCCACTACTCATCTGTCATTTTGTCATACTGTGGTGGCTTGCATGTTGCTGTGATACTGAAAGCTATGCCATTGGTATTTTAAATACCAGCAGGGTCACCCATGGGGGACAGGTTTCAGTGGATCTTCCAAACTAAGACAGACTAGGAAGAAGGAAAAGTGGACAACTTCAGAATGTTTAGTCACTAAAAACCTTATAAATAGCAGTAGAACATCATCAGATATAGTGGCAGAAGATGAGCTCCTCAGGTTGGAAGGCACTCAAAATATAACTGGGGAAGAGGTACTTCTTCAAAGTATAGTTGACCATGATGATGTGAATGGATTAGGCTTTTGGGACTTGCATTTGCTGATGGGGTACAACTCAAAATGAGAAGAAATGACTGAAAAAAATCTATTAATAATTAGAACACAGAATGTATGAAGTATGAGTCTAGGAACATTGGAGGTTGTCAAAAACGAAAAGGAATGTATAAAGATCAATGCCCTAGGCATTAGTGAGTTGAAATGGACGGGTATTGGCCATTTTGAATCTGACAATCATATGGTTTACTATGCCAGGAATGACAAATTGAAAAAGAATGGTGTTAAATTCATCATCAAAAAGAACATTTCAAGATCTGTCTTGAAGTACAATGCTGTCTGTGATGGAATAATATACATATGCCTACTATGAATAGCAGAGAAATATTGCCAGATACAGGACTGGAAAGTGGGAA